GAATGGGGTGAGAGACAGTGTCGAAGGCCTTCCTAAAGTCCAGAAAGACTACGTCCACTGCTACCCCTGCGTCTAAGGATTTTGTGACCTGGTCATAGAAGGCCACCAGGTTGGTCTGACAGGACCTGCCTCTAATGAACCCATGTTGGTTGCCCCTAAGCATGATCTCCCCTGCTGGCCCCTTGTGGACATGCTCCAGGATAATTATCTCAAAAAGCTTCCCCAGGACCGAGGTAAGACTAACTGGCCTATAGTTTCCTGAGTCCTCCTTCCTCCCTTTTTTGAAAATAGGAACCACATTGGCTCTTTTCTAGTTCTCTGGCACCACGCCAGAGCACCATGAATGCTCGTAAAGCTGTGCCGGGGTCCCGCAATGACCTCTGCTAATTCCCTCAGCACTCGGGTGGAGATCATCAGGACCTGCTGATTTAAATACATCCAGTCCCTCCAGAAGTTCCCTGACTAGGTCCTCACTGACCCTAGGCCTGGGTGCGCCTCCCCTGGGACCTATGAGGGGGTCCCAGTGGGTGGAGGGGGTGACCTGGTCCCTGCTCAGAAAAATGGAGGCAAAGAAATTGTTAGCTAGGTTAGCTTTGCTGTCTGGTGCGACAACCAGATTTCCTAGCGTGTCCTGCAGGGGCCCCACATTACCAGGTACCTTTTTTTTACCCCCTATGTATTTAAAAAAGGACTTGTTGTCCTTGGTCTGGGTAGCTAGTCCTAGTTCCATCTCCACCTTGGCCTTCCTGACCACCCCCCTACAGCCCCGAGCAACCGAGGTATAGTCCTCCCTGGTGATGGCCCCTCCCTTCCATTGGGTGTACGCCTCCTTTTAAGCTAGGAGATGTTCCCGTATGCTTTTGGTGAGCCATGGGGGCTTTTGCACCCTTTTGCCCCCTTTGATCCGCATTGGGATTACCTCCTTTTGGGCTTGGAGGATCGTCTTCTTAAGGAATGACCACTCTTCCTGGACACCTGACTCCCCTCCCCTCTGGGAACTCAGTGTCTCCCAGACTATTCTCACCTCATTGAAATCTGCCCTCCTGAAGTCCAGGGCTGCTGCCTTGCTGCAGGCCTTTGCCACCTTGCACTGGATGGTGAATTCCAGCAGGCGATGATCGCTGTCGCTCAGCTGGTCAAGCACCTGCACACCCCTCACCAGGTCGTCGCCTGTGGCCAGGACCAGATCCAACAAGGTGTCTCCCCTGGTGGGGCTGTGCACCTCCTGGATTAGATGGAGGTCCTGTATCTTGGCTAGGAACCTACGTGAGCGATCAGACCTGGCTGACTGCTCTTCCCAGACCACGTCCTTTGACCTAACTACCTCTGTGAGCTGACTTAAGAATTCCTGGTCTAGCTCTTCCCCTTGGTTGGGTGGTCTGTAGTAGACTCCCACCGTTAAGTCCCTTTCCCCTCGACTTCCCCTCGACTCTAAGGTCCTTCACCCTTGTTTGTAACCAGTCATGCTCCACTGACATGGTTGTAGGCAGTGTGGGAGGCTAAATCCAGCTTGAGCCATAGGTACCCATCCTTGCAGCTTTTCACCTTTACTATCTGCCACTTCCCATGCTAATAGAAACTCTTTGGTTGGAAGGTTGAGGAGGTGAGGGAAGCTAGATGGAGTGTTTCCAATTCCACTCCCAGGGAGGTATGTAACAGGTATGTCTACTGTGGAATAGTTCTGCCCTAGATGGTATCTGGGGGAACACCAGGCTACAGTGCCCCATTGCCCTTGTGTTGGGGTTAGAAAGGAGGAAGGACTTTGTATTTTTGGTTTACCTTTGAAAATAAGTCTGACTAGATAAGGCTGAATGTCATTGCCTACACTGTGAACTAGAGATTTACTTACATACTCTTTGACTGTAAAGCGTGTGTGTGTGTGTGTTATTTCCCCTCATATATATGCTTTTATTACAGAAGAGGAAGTGGGGGGGAAGCTTGGACAGGAACTGGAATCTTGGACTCTTTTTCCCTACTCATTAAGGAGAGCCATAGTTCCTGTTGAACTCTCAATTTTTTTGGCAATATGGAGCAGCTTTAACAAAAAGGTTGAAAAGCCCTATAAGCTGCTATAGGGACACTCTCCCAGTTGTGGGAGATGTGGGTTTGAATCAGCCCAGATAGAAAATGGAACTGAACCCATGCTTTTCCGCAGTTTAAACAAATGCTCTAATTTCTTAGCTAGCTTATGCTATAGAACAACTTCTTCCAGCTGTGTTCAAAAGAAAGCAGCAGCTACTGCTATGTTTTCTATAAAGTAGGGTTGTCCAACTGGTAATGGTAACCTTGGAGCTTCATGTGGTCCATCAGGGATTATCAGGCAGCCCTGAGACTTCCACCCAGCTGTGGCTACACTTATTACTCTGGTGATAGCAGTAGCCAGGGGCTAGGGGCTCCCTCCTCCTCCAGCTTCCACTACATGGCCCAGCCCCAGGGAGTGGGATAAGCCAGGACACAGCAGTGTGGCACAGTGCATGGTGCCGAGGGATCTGATGACCAGGCAGCTAAAGGCGAGGTGGGGCACTGCACACAGTGCAGCAAAGGGGAACCTGCCCATTTACAGTGGGGGAGGACTGCATTCAAGCACATAGTATGCAGCCTGGGCTGCGATGAGGGGACGGGCTGTGTCCCCTGCAGCATGCAGTCTCCGTTAGTATGGCTCATAGGACATGCACCATCCAACTGCTTAGAAGCTGGACAGCCCTACTATAAAGCATGATCCACTATTCACGTGGAAGGTGCACTCAGATAACACCTTCCTAATCACCCCCTCCCATACCGTAAGGGAAATAGGTGAAGAAACAGCGATCTTCTATATTTCAGTTGGGTTTAGGTATGAGCTAGGCCAGGGGCCAGCAACATTTTTGGACAGAGTGCCAAAAACACCTGCAACTTCAACTTGTAAGATGTTGGTGTGCCAGGGGCAGGTGGTGGGGGAGCCATGAAGGGCCTTATCCTTGTTGTGGCTGAGTAGCCCCGGCCCCTTCCCCACCATTCACCCAGAAGCATGCATGCCAAGCAAAATGTCTTTGAGTGCCACACTCTGGCACCCATGGCAGGGGTTACCTACCCCTGAACTGTTTCACTGTCAGACAGATGCTTCTTGACATGCACAGGAACAACTTGGGCAGCTGGAGAACCTCAGTATCAAAAAGTGAGACCCCAGAGAATGTCTCACACACACAGATGCATTAGAGTTTGCATTTTGGTTTTTCTTTAGTCTTTGTTTGAATTCCCTAGAGCTGCAGAATGGAAGGTCAGGTTTCTAAATAATAACTGCCTGAAAACCATGGATTAAAAGTTTGTGCAAGGCTTCCAGTCTAATGCCATTTTTATAGTGGTAATGCCCAATAGTGCGAATCAGAACTAAATCCTCTCTTCCCCTGCACCTCCCCCTCACCCCCCACTGCCCTCAGCCTGTCTACTGGACCAATATACATGTCTGAATTGCCATGCTACTGCTGTTTCTTCTTTGGCTTGAGGAGTGTTCAGCCAAGAATACCGATAAAGGGATATGGGAGCAAGATACAAGCCACCATGGTCAAGGTGATGATGGACAAGCCTCCTTATTTTTTGATATGCATCAGATGTGTCTGTTGATTAACCCTCAGTTGCAATATCTATTATTTACTCCCCAGTCATGAAACAGTGGGTCTTGAGGAAGGGGAATTCAAAAGGGAGAGAAGTGGCTTTATTTTTCAGCTCAGAAGCACCTTATTTTAGAAGACATAAGAAAGCATAAAGAAATGGACAGGCAGACAAGTGGCCAGCATTATCAGAGCAGAGGGGCAAAGGGCAATGTGAAAAGAGTTAAGTAGAAAAGTAGACCATATTTTTAAGTGTTAAAGTAGAACATGTCTTTCTGTCTCTCTCTCTCTCTCTTGCACATTTCTCATATGTTCATCACAATATTAATCAGGTGTCAATGTTACAAATAAAATTAAGAGGAAAACTCACCAAGAACCAAATATTAAATTTCTTTGGCTTTGATCATGGGTTGTTTCAGTTTAATCTGATCCATCTTCTATCAGTGTTCTGAGCTGATAGTCTCATTTTCTCAGCTTGAACACCTGTGTTTCCAAATTTATATTAAGTTTCAGCTTTGCTTTTGATGCTGAGTCAGGCGGAAAAATTACAGTGAGCACTGCAAGGTGACAAAGCCTCATGGGAGGTGTTGAGCATCCTCAGCATCCATAGGACTTCTTAAATTCAGATGATGACAGCAGTTTTCTGCTTGCTGAGCCAGCATAGGGCTGGGAATAGTGCAAAGGAGAAGGTAGCCTTGGGCCCCTCTGTAGTGATAACCAGTGGCCACACAATAGCTCTAAAACCTTTGTTTTCATTTCCCAGAGCTAACCGTGCAAAATATATGTACACCATTTTGTAAGACAGTAAGGGTAAAATAGGATGGTGCTTTGCAGAAGAATATACGGTAGGATTATCTCTTCCTGCTATAGCTTATATTGTGTCAAGTTAATTCAGATCATTTCACTTTGGTGTCTGTTATTTATAGTGTTCAATTAAGAGTAACTGAAATGTTAATAGAATATCATCCTTATATAGGCTTAAATATTAAACGTTCAGTTCTGGGATGGCCTTTCCCCATTAGTCAGGGTATCTAAGTAAAATGCTTTTAAAATGCCACATTATTTCTTAAATCCTTCTCTTCCAGCAGAATGATTCCACTGTGCAGGGCTCAATGTCAGTTGTGGCAAGTGTACTGTCCTCATCTCATGCAGTAAGAGTTATCAGTGTGCTAAGCAGAGTCTCTGCTGCTTCAAAATCCGTAGCCAAATTCTTGCAGCCACAACTGGTAAGAAAATTCGCACAGCTGGACTTGCTGTCAGGGCACCTTCTGCAAAATCCTCACACACCACTCTATACAATTCAGGTAAGGAATATTAGTGGAAATGCTAATGATTTTGGACCTACTCTAACAGGCTTTACATATCTCTGATTTTTTAATCAGGATTTGTGTTCCATGGCTTACTGATGTTACTGTGTGCAAAACTGACATTTTTACCAGCTCTGGTGCTTTTTAATTGCCATAAACTATTTTCAGTAACAATCCATAACAGGATGAAACTTGAAAGCAGAGTTTAGTACTTGTACAGGAAAATGTCTCACTGGGCAAAAACAAGTGGAGATTTACAGATGAGAAAACAGTGTCTAAAAGCAGATGCTGTGGCTGCCCCTGTAATCTGCAAGCAGAGGACACACACACACACACACACACACACATACACACTCACTCACTCACTCACTCACTCACTCACTCACTCACTCTGCTCTCCCCCTTCCGTGTGGGGAGAGAACTCAGCCATCTCTACAGCAGTAACCCCCTCTTGTTAACCCTCTGGAGGGGCTGAGACAAAAGAGCAGGCAGGCTAAAGAAAAGGCTGTGGTGAATGCAAACCCCCCTCTATGCCTGCATTTCCTGTATGTTCTTGTGATCAGCAGAGAAGACAATATATATATTATTGTTTCTATTTGATAATGATATCAAAAAGACTTAATCAACGAATGTGTATGAATGCAGCCTTTCCAGACGTGAACGTGGATATAGGGAACTGCATTCTCCTATTAAGTACTGTTAGTACTCTGACAGCAAAAAAACTGTTCTTAACAGCTATTTTTCCTTCAGACTACAAGATGCTCACTATGTGATGTGATCTGCTATCCAGCAAAGACTGTTATCACCAGTTTAATGTTTGCTTTCTATGCAACTCTCATTTATATGGTAAGTTAATTAGCTTAAATCTGGACCTGATGTTTTTGCCTCAACACTTGTTCATGGTAAGCCTTGTATCGTCCCCGGTAAAAACAATGGGATAATATGTAATGTAAGATACTACTCAAAATTAGGCCCTTCTTGATTACAATGTCCTTTAATATTTATGTGATAACCTACCCATCAGAATAAGGTTTAAATACTGGCATCAATGCAAATTGCAGTTTTCAGCCTGTTTTTTTCATGAAGAGACTACCTACTAAATACCTGATTGCTTACTTGGTTCAGGCTTCATTTCAATATAACATGTACACAGATCTGCAAAATTACAAGCCAAGGCACAAAACATAATCCTTTTCTTTTGCCATATTAATTTAATAATGGAAAAACCAAGGGCATTTATTCCCCCCGCCAAATAAAACTTCCCCGGAGTGAGTGGGAGAGTAGAATTTTGGGAGGCAGCTTTAAATTGTTCATTATAGAAGCACTAAATACAAGGCAGAGATGCTCTGCTCGTTTCTTGTTCTGGATTATTCATGTATTTGCACTCTCTCAGCCCTATCTCTTCTCCATTCCTAACTGCTTATCTCAATCCCATTCTCCTCCCAGTCTGTCATGACCTCTTTGTCCAACCTGCCCTCATTTCTCTCCTATTTTCAGTATCTTTCTGCTGCTTGCACTCTGTCCCCGTTTCCCCCATAACTCCCATCTCCAGTCTCCTTGCTCACTCCTGGCTCTTCATATGATCTCTATCTGCACCTGTGACGTAGTCATTGGAGGCTCTACCAAATGGCTCCCCATCCAGTATTTTACCTATGTCAAGTCTATTTTAGTTCACTTGCTGCTCCTTCTAGAACCTGTTTTTCCTCACTCCTTTCTTCATCTGATCACAGGGTTCCTCAGTAGTTTCCCTCACCATATACCTCCTCTGCTTGTGCTTGTAGGGAGGCAGTTAGACTGGCCAAAGCTACCATGGAGCTGAGGATGGCATCCCAAGTAAAGGACAACAAGAAATTGTTTTTTAGATATATAGGGAGTAAAAGGAAGGCCCAGGGAGGAATAAGACCCCTGCTAAATGAGCAGAAACAATTGGTGACGGACAGGGGGGACAAGGCTGAACTCCTCAACGAGTTCTTTGCCTCACTGTTCCTAAGCGAAGGGCACGACAAGTCTCTCACTGGGGTTGTAGAGAGACAGCAGCAAGGCACCAGACTTCCACGCGTAGACCCTGAGATGGTGCAGAGTCACTTGGAAGAACTGGATGCCTTTAAGTCGGCAGGCCCGGATGAGCTCCATCCGAGGGTGCTGAAGGCACTGGCCGACATCATTGCAGAGCCACTGGCGGGAATATTTGAACGCTCGTGGTGCACGGGCCAAGTCCCAGAGGACTGGAAAAGGGCCAATGTGGTCCCCATTTTCAAGAAGGGGAGGAAGGAGGACCCGGGCAACTATAGGCCAGTCAGTCTCACCTCCATCCTTGGCAAAGTCTTTGAAAAAATTATCAAGGCTCACATTTGCAAGAGCCCGGCAGGACAAATTATGCTGAGGGGAAACCAGCACGGGTTCGTGGCAGGCAGATCGTGCCTGACCAATCTAGTCTCTTTTTATGACCAGGTTACGAAATGCCTGGACACAGGAGAAGGGGTGGATGTTGTATACTTAGACTTCAGGAAGGCCTTCGATACGGTATCCCACCCCATACTGGTGAACAAGTTAAGAGGCTGTGACTTGGATGACTACACAGTCTGGTGGGTGGCGAATTGGCTAGAGGGTCGCACCCAGAAAGTCGTGGTGGATGGGTCGGTTTCGACCTGGAAGGGTGTGGGAAGTGGGGTC